TAAGTAGGTGCATACGTGTACACCAGTGCGTGGCCCAACAGCCCCAAGCAGAGATTGCAAAGATTGAGGCCTCTTAAGTTAGGCAAAAGTATGCTCTTACTAAAATGGACTCAAGCAAGCCTTCAAGGAATTTATTCATAGCCCTTTTCAGCTAAGTCTCCAGGAGAGCGCATTGAGAATATAATTTTTCTCCTAGGGGCCCTGAAGAATCAATCAAGGCAAAGTAGATGCAAGATCTTTCCTGAGAACTTGTGCTACTAACACTGGATAGAGAAGCCTCTAGAAGAACTTACTATAGTGCTTCAGGCTCCTTGCGACTGTAGCTGTTTTTTTAACGTGGTGGACTTATGCCTAAAAACACATACTTGACAGTGAAAGAAAAGCTATACATTCACACTGAACTGAAAAAGATGTATAACTGAAGCAGGTTTTACTATCCTGAATGTGAAAATGTGCATTTTTTTTCCTTTTGCATTCTCAGACTTCCTGAGAATCAGAAGAAGATTTTTCCCACTCTAGCTCTCCCAGCAAGATGAAGACAGACTCCTTTCTTCAAGGCTCCCTACTTTATTTAGAAGCTAATGCAGACACAAGTAACCTTACTTCAGAAAGATCAGAGGGACAAGTACAGTACGCCAGAGAAACACGTAAAAAGAGACATATGCCCATGGCTCCTTAATTCACTCCTTGTTTAGCAAATAATTGCTTTGCCTTGCATCAAACTTAATTAGCAATTAGAGGTTTCATGACCTCATGTCTGTGAGCTCTCAGAGGCAGCTGAGCTTGCTAAGAAAGTCAAAAATAAACCTTGTGAGAGATCCTAGAAGTTCTTAGGATTCCAGTTAGCACACCTTAAAGGAGGAAAGGATCCTCTGTCTCTGTGGAGGTTAGGAGTGTTAAGGCTTCCTTTGAAGGGTGGCATCTAACTCAATGACCATAGCATTGACCTGGCTAAGGACTACCTACCTTAAAGCACACAAGAAGTCTACGTCAAGCTTCCTCCTCATAGAAAGCCATGCATCTAGAACCAAAGGATGTCTCACAGCAATGGAGTTATAGGCTTCATTTAGGTATGGAATCTTCAACTGAATGCTAACCATTACTCACCCACCCCACTCCCCTTTAGAGTGACACTAATTAGATAGGTTGGCGAATAATTTCCAAGGTCTCCGTTGCTAACAGAGCAGGCTTTGGGTTTCTGTGACGCTGAAATTAAGTGATAAATATTCTAAATTGGACTTTGCCATGACACTACACTGAGAAGTTTAAATTCTAAATTCTGAGACAGTCTCCATCACCAAAACTGACACCGTTAACTTGTCTGTCTGGAAAGAGAGATGGCTACGTTTTAAACTCTTAGGCCCTTTGCTGCACTAACAGTATAGCCAGAGACCAAGACCACCATTCCAGAAGTGTACTAGGTTCACTCTCAAAATGTGTAAAACACATATTCAGTAAGGCCAATATGGAATCAGAAAAGGGCACCTGACCATCAGGAGGGTCATCTGACTGGTTCACGGTACCAGCCCATGCCTCAGCCAGATTCTGCCAGACGACTGCTATCCTTTTATGTCAGAGATAAGCTTTGTTAGCTCAGTTCCTAATCAAATAGTAAGTGATTGTGAAAAGAAAGAGAAGGAAAAAAAAAGGAAAAAAGTAAAGTCTTTTTCTCAATAAGAGCTGTGGCAATGATTGTGAAAAGAAAGAGAAGGAAAAAAAAAAGGAAAAAAGTAAAGTCTCTTTCTCAATAAGAGCTGTGGCACGGTGTGAAGACAGTGAATAGAGATAATATATCCTTGAAACACAGAATGAGTTGCAAATGTACCTTGATGTCTGTAATCTCAAAAGAATAAACACCTCACATAATGCATGCAGAAATTGTTTACTACTGTTCAAAGCTGTGATTTTTTTTATTTATTCCATCTTACAAAACAGAGATGTAAGCAACTTCATCAGATCCATTCATTTAATACTTATACAAAAGTTGATTCAAATGACAAATCCATGACTATGCAGCGCTTCAACCATACAGATCAAGAATATGCTCAATTTGCCTGTTTTCTTCTAAAGCCAGGTGTACACTCAGCATCTGGATAGCCAGGATAAAAGGAAGACATCTCTCTGTTTTGAAGAGGCATTGATGGATTAGCAAGGTAATGCCAACACAAACATTTCCTGAATTTGGAATACTTGTGCTAATACGGATAGTGTTAGCCATAAAGACGAAGACTGAAGCAATGAAACTACAGTTTATCCTTTCCATTGCTGGAGCCTAATAAAATATCAAAGAATCATAGACTAGTTTGGGTTGGAAGGGAGCTTTAAAGGTCATCTATACCAGTCTCCCTGCAACAAGTAGGGACATCTTCCACTAGATCAGCTTGCTCAGAGCAGCGTCCAACCTGACCTTGAATGTTTCCAAGGATGGGGCATCTACTACCTCTCTAGGCAACCTGTTCCAATGTTTCACCACCCTCATCGTAAAAAATTTCTTCCTTGTATCTTGTCTTAATCTATCCTCTTTTAGCTTAAAACCATTACCCCTTGTCCTACCGTAACAGGCTCTATTAAAAAGTCTGTCCTCATCTTTCTTATAAGCCCCCTTTAAATAATGAAAGGCTGCAATAAGTTCTCTCTGGAGGCTTCTCTTCTTCAGGCTGAACACATATATCGCTTTACTTTTCAGTCTCAATTCTGTACCAGAAGCAATGGCCTCACATCTGCCACAGAGTTCCCACAGCAAGCCAGTTGCTCATCAGCACCAGTTCAGTTGTTGCAAACCAACGAGTCAGACGCATGGCGAGTCCCTTATTAAAGCAGATTTCTTCTGATCTCTGCAGGGGAAGACGTTCAGCAAACACTCCAGAAGAACACAACTTCCTGAGTTTAAGCATTCTGCAGCTGCTGTTCACTTCTGATTTACGGCCTGACCTACACCCAGTGCTTAGGCTTCTCTAAGTGTGTAACTGATCTGTGCGTGTGCAGTTTTCAGTGAAAAGCCACTAGCAGCTCAAAGGCTTCCTCTTCCTTGTCACGTATTACGGGCACATACAAGATTCCTTCCACAGAGACAATCCATTGCCTTGTCTTAAGTGTATAACTTGCTCCCCACCATGCTTCTGTAATAAAGCAGCCTTGAAATTGTGACCTGTTACAAAAATCAATTATGAGAATTAAATTAAAATTAAAATTCTCTTTGCAATGCAAAGGTCTCTCCGAAGACTGCACTGGAATGCTTCCATGCAGCCTCACAATTTAAACAGATGTATGAGGATACGCTGCATTAGCTAAGCCATCTTTCACAGCATTGCTTTGCTAGCAAGCACAGGCTGCCCAAGTGCTATGAATTACTCTTCCCAGTGCAGATTTCACAGTTATACAGGGAGTTTTACACTGAGTCAACACGCTAGTTCTGAACAGAGAGGGTAGGTAACATGTCAGCATAAACTTCAACTGCTGATAATTCAAATATCAAAATTAAATACCTGAATCTCATTTTAAGCAAAAACAGGCTCATTTCATTTTTCACTTGGTACCTTACAGTTTTTAGATGACACATGTTCATGTAAGTACTAAGATTATTTCTTTCCCAGTCATCTGGGTCCAATTAGGTTTCTTCAACTCATTCTTACAGTCTCGGGATGGATCTTACAAATATTTATTTTTGATATTGTAATAGAAAACCTTCTGTATGTCATAAGACCTGAAAAAAAAATTTAAAAGTCTCTTTTTTTCAAAAGAGCAGAAGGATCCCAGGAAAATACTAGCACAAGATTTTTTGGTAGCTCCTACACAATCACATGATAAGCGCAGATAAAATTTCTCAAAACCAAGTCAAACAAACTTCTATCAACACAACTTCTATTTACAAACCCTTCACTTCGATTTTAGCAAGGCTTTTTGTCCTCTTTTTTTTTTCCATTATGTACAAACCAAAAGAAAGTAGACGAAACCGGGCAGGTGTCCACTCCTAGGGAAGCACTACTCAGACTGTCAATGATTCAACTGGTAAACTGGAGATATGCATCAAATGGGAGACTCAAAGGAGCTTGGCCTATATTCAAAGCACACACTTCCATCAAGACGTTAATGAAAATATTAGAAAATATGGGTGACACCAAGCTGGGGAGGCCTTGAGGCATACTGGGGAGCAGAATGGAAATTCAAATTAAGAAAGTCTGGAAAAAAACAGACGCAATTCAAAAGCCGAGAAGCAACCGTGTTTAAAACTTCTGCATTTATTTAACCATGCAAATAGAGAACATAAACAACTACTCTTGCTTTGCGGTACTATAGGAAGTGTCTGAAGAATATAATGGATCACAGACTGAGTGTGAGTCAACAACATACTCAATATAAACAGGAATACTGTGTTAACAATTGTTTTTCACTGTCCCATTTAAACCTCAGCTGTGGCCTGCATCCTTCCAGATTTCCACACTTCAGAAAGATACAGGCAATTCAGATCTGAGGAGTAGCAACAAGTCAAATCTAGGAAACAGATAAAGAGTGAAGAACTGAATTTGTCAACAGGATAAATCTAAAGGGGCCAGTATCAGTCCTCAAATATATTGAAGGTACTCAAAGGCAGATAAAAGTCTACCCCTTCTCTTTATGCATATTGCCCAAGAGCAGTTTAACTTGTGAAAATGCCCTCCAGGAGCAAGCCTTTAAGGTGTCTAGAAAGGCTGTTGGAAACGTTATGAATGATGAGGGTGCACAAATCCTGTACCTAGGCAGAGCACTGAACTATATCACCTCTCAAGGTCATGAGCTTCCCAGCTATATTGGCATTTACCCAATATGACCAAAATCTGACCCTAAAATTCACTCCCTCTACAGCACAGAAGCAGTAATTTCCAGAAAACAAAATATAAGAACATTTGCACCTTCTAAATGCTAAAACTCTCCCTTTTCCCATTTGGAGACTTTGAACATTCAAAGTGACACCAGAGCATTATTAGCAAAGTAACACAGTTGATAAATAAAAGCAGACTCACCTTCCGCAATTCAATTGTAACTTCATTTCTGTGTCTTCTCATAGTCTGTAAATGAAAAACAAAACAGATTTGTACGTAAAGAAAGAAATGTTTTGTTTTGGCCGAGTTGTTTCTCGGTCAAAAGTGCAGCTATTCATCAAAAAGATAAGGAAAACAATGTGTGTAATTTAGAACTCAATCTTTCCTAGCAAGATGCACAAGTTGTTTTGAGGGGTTTGGTTGGGTTTTTGCTGGGTTTGGTTTTTAGAGATTATACACCTTACAGGAAGTTTTGTCATAAACCACAATAGGTATCCCAAAGGCAGAAAACATTGATCTCTCCATGGAGTTTCACTGGCATGGCTTTCCAGGAGTTTATATGTACACACCAAAAGAAGCAGTAAATACAGGTTAGACAGTCTCACATTCACAACCTAAACACGTAACCTATGCCAGTTATCTGGCCAAAACCAACCACGAGTGCCAGAAGATGACCAAGCTCAAAGCAAACAAGACAGGCGAGGCTTGTGGCAAAAGGAAACATAGTACAGTGGCTATGAGTCTACTTAGGATCTGTAGCCTAAACACTGTAAAGGAAAACCAGCCCATATGTATCTCAGCTCCTTTAAGATACTGGGCACTCAGGACTCATTCCCTACAATGCTGCTATACCTCTTAGCTAAAAGAGATCAAAATATTGAGAAAGAACAATTTTAGCCTAGTGAAGGCAATATCCCTAGGTTCGTTTTACAGTCAGTGGGAAAGATATGTACCATTAGAATGCGATTCAGAGAAAAATCAGGACTAGACAACTGCTGGCAGCCTAGAAAGATCACCCACACTGACTAAAATTAGCCTTTTAAAATACTTTCTATGTCCTATCCTTGCTACTGACCTTCACTGCTACTATCACGTTCCTGTTGAGTTAGGGTAAATAACTTCCCTAAGCTCAACAGTATCAGTGAAAACCACGAGTACAGAGAAGACAAGCACTCCCCATCATCCATCAGAGAAAACACCAAACATGCTAAAGCTCAAAACACAGGTAAATGAAACGAGCAGACTTCACACCATGGATCTATACAGGATGTAGTTTCGGTGCTTAGAACACTACCTTAGCTTCACTGTTCTAAACCCGTTTGCGTAGCAATGTTCATTCAATTATTTTAGGTTGATTTGAGAGTAAGGAAGGCTTGTCTTCCTGTCTGCTGCTTGATTAACCAACTCACTCATGTAAACACAGACACAATTCTCTTTCTATATCTACAAGCGTGAACTACACCACTTTAAGCAAAGCAAGTCCTCACTGCAGTAAGAGGACACTAGCACTAGAGCATCCACCACAGCTACATGTACTCCTTCCCCCCTTCCCCCTCTATTTTGCTAAACCATTTGATTCTTGTGACCATTTGAGCCTGCTGCAATGATAGGACTGGACTGATGAGGAATGGGAGAACACTGGGTAGGTAGGGAATGGACAAATGAAGAACCTGAAAAGTCATTGCATGTAACTAGCTAGACCAGTCATTCAAGTTTCTCGTTATATTAGAATTTTGTATTTGAATTATCAAATTTAAGGGCACTAAATAGCCTAAAAACATTTTTCAATACTTCTTCCCCATGATAACTCCACATTTCAATGGAAAAATGTAGTTAGACAAGGTTGTCAGATGTTTTGGTATAAAACCTCCTTTTCTTGATCATTCTCAATGTGCTAGACACCAAAGTCCTTTATAGAACTTCCCACTAGTAACACCGCCCCACCTCCTACTTATCTTAGATTTTAAGGGGTATCCCATCCCACGACAAGTCAGTTAACTTGAGTGTCCATTAGCATTTTCTCCCCAAAATCTAGTACTGTATGTGGTTTGATTTGAAATCTCAATAATTTAATTGATACAAGGCACAATTTACTTTTAAATTTGTTTCCTAATTACAATTTATTTCTACTTTTTTTTGGCTTTGTTAGCTATGTGATAGTACTCTAGAATATTTTCTATTTAGCAGAAAAATCAGACCAAATCTGAAGCTCTTTGGAGGACAGCAGTTAACATTTGCCACCACTATTCTTCTGGAAGCAAGGCAGATTTAAGAGAGACTATACGCTCTGTTCAACAGTTCAGCAGCTTAATATTTTGGTTTAGAAAAAAATAAATACAGTGCAGTTCCAGGCAAGGCATTACTATTCATTTCATCAATTTACTCTAAAACCTCCTCTAACAATGCTTTGACTAAAGACAGTTACTCGGAATCATCCATCCATAAAGGCTCTACTGGGAAGACTCTAAGCTTCTTTCTAAAGGCAAATAATTCACTCAGCTTTTCAATTAGGGTTTTATCTTTGTTTCATACTTCCATTATTTCAGCCCCACTGATCCTACCCTATTACAATTCTGTCTCAATATTTTTTTTCTAGTTTTTTGTTTTTATCAACCTGCTCTTCAAAATATTTGACTATTCCATTATGGTTTTCCATCTAATGTGCAAGAATCTCCCATCTTTTCCTCATTTAGAGAGCTCCTGCTCTTTAGAAAGATTCTTCAAAAAAGGTTATTAACTATGTGGACATTTTTGCTGACTAGTAGCATACATTTTTTGAGCTTTAATACTCGTCTTAAGGCAATCTCCATACTACCTGGGTTTTACCCTTCTAGCTGTTCTTCTGTATTTCCTTTTAAACGTATTGTATGTAGTTTCAAAGCAGCTCTGGTACATTTTCTTTTTTTCCTTCCTCCTTTATAAGGCAGAATAGGCAGTACTCATCACTAAGGCCAAAGCTGCTTCTCCATTCACAGAGCAAGTAGGTTGATAACTGAGGATATCAATTAGCCTCAACTTCACAGAACTGATGAGTGTTACCTGGCCTCCATTGAACTAAGGGCTCCCAGTCTTGCAGAATCTCCTGCTAGCAAAGCATCTTTAAAAATTCAGCACGTTGGGGTCACCAGGATCACCCATGAATCAGTAGTACAGTGTTAGGCCTAAGGTCTTCCTACAGGTATATGAGACTGAAGTTCCCAAAGAACCTATGGTCCTTCTGGCCGGCAAACTTGGTTGTCATAGTTGAATCATGATCAGTGCTCTGAGCTAGATGTATGCTGACATCATTTCTAACCTGATGACACTAGTGTTCCACTTCATGTTCTCAATATACGAGATGACCACTACATAACAACAAACTTAAGACCATGAATTCTACTTAAATACACGTCAATTGTTGCAATGATAGACTGTATGTGAAAGACACGTGGGCATTTCCTGCCCCACCCCCCCCCCCCAAAAAAAAACAGACTTAAGTGATCCAGTACATTTTTTTTGTCCTGATTTGGCATTTCATAAAAAGTAGGTATTTAAAGCTTGTGTTTTAGATGAAGCATTATAGAAATACAGCAGGTTATCAGCACCTTCCTACAGCCTCAGAAGAAATAAACATACTATAATCCAGCAGCATACAAAAGAAGTAGTCTTAAGCAAGCCTTCCTTTACAGAAGCACTACTACTGTAAGCAGAATACCACACTTTTACACTACTGCAAGCCTCCACACACGGGGAACTGATAAGGATTTACAAGGGATTTATACAGTAGTAGAATGGTTAAACGTTTTCTCTAGCTAACATAGGTCAGCTGAAAACAGAGAGTAAAGACCAAATTATTTGTCAACTTAACCCCATGGATTCATCATCGGCTTTCAGCCTGGGAGGACAATCACCTTCTGAAGTCTATATATTCAATACTAGATAAAGCCTATAAAGATGTTACCAATGGATCTACTATAGTGTTCGACATCTACAGCATCTGACTACAGTCACTTCTCAGCTTAGTGTACTTAAAGAAGTAACTTCGTATGATGCTGAAACAGCATATCTCAAAACAACTCCCGAGACAAATCTGAACTATTTCACTGAATAAAATCAGACTCTAAATCTCAGAAAGGGAAAACTCAGCATAGGTAAAATCCTACAAATCTCAAAAATTATGACAGTTTATTCCAGCAGAATCTAAACTGTGGAGCCACTCCTAAACACAGAGTTATTAACACACGGTACTCAAGGTGCAAAAATAAAAATTGAGGCTAGTAACTATCAGTCAGCATGTCCTACTAAGAAACAAGAACGTACAACACTTTGCAAGATTACGTCTCAACTGCTGCGTATGACTTAAGCCACACTTAAGTTCATAAGGCTTTTGTAAAAAGAGATGTCTTCTCCCCAGTTCACCATCTGTGAAGAACAATTACTTACCAGTGCGTCTGAGAGGCTGACATAACCACAATAATGCACCAAGTACCATAAGTCTTGCTACAAGTCAAAAGTAGATGTTCAGCTGGATTTCCCTGACATTTTTTTTAATTTATAAAATAAACCAGAAAAAAAACCCAAAAGACCTACTAGATGCTGTTAGATAAATCAATGTTGTCATTTCTACCCTGAATTTCTGAATACTCTTCCAAAGCCAGATACAAAGCATTCCATGCCAAGAATCTCTCCCTAACACCGTCAGCTTGAAAGAAAAGCAATCTCTAGTTCCCTCAAAGTATCAAAACTGAAATCAATTTCATATGCCAATAAAGAAAATCACTACGCACGTTAGGGCTGTCGTGTTAAGGGCTGCAAGGGAACCTTGTTTCACGGTGACACAAACCACAAAAATGCTAAGCTGACAAAAACACAAGAGATTTAAGAGATGCTAGACCTTGAAAACAAAGCAAGCCTCAAGTTAACGCACAAAATAAGGCTTCAAAGAAGCCTCCGTCCCTGTAAAACTGCCTTTGACACACATTCAATGGGTAGAAGCGACACAGAATAATACATCCACCCTCATCAGATCAGCATTTCAGCTCTGGTATCTTCTTTCCAACCAGAAGCTGACAAGAAACTCAATGCTCAATTTCAGAGCCACCTGTGGAGAAGGGAAACATCTGCCTGATTTTCAATTAATATTTGGTTTATGACAGAACACAAAACTATACATAAAACTCTTCATGTCAAAAAGCAATAGCTGAAGACAACCCTGGGAAATTCCAAACTTTCAGTCTAACAGTAACCCTTACCATCAGCACATTTGAATAATTATTTTTAAGTGACTAAACATTTGGGACCCTTTGGCTCAACCACACATACTTCACAAATACCATTTATGAAACCCTGTATAAAGGTGCACAATATGCTCACCACATGTTAAAGAGCAAGTATCATTGCTGCAACACTACTACTTGATATCTTAAGACTGCCCATGCACACCTTCCTGGTAAACAAAAAAAAAAGATTACTTCTAAGTGTTGAATAGCACTGAGATTCTAAGGAGAGAATTAAGTCTTGCAATCTTTGGCTCCTTGAGCCTTTGTTAAACCTAAACAACACTTAACTGCATAATAGATTAAACTACCTGAAAAGGTAACTCATAACTTCTGTAAACTAAAAAAAAAAAAAATATTCAAGGAATTCCAAAACCAAACGGCTGTAGCTGTCTAACCTATGTTAGAACAAAACGCTCTGTAGCAAATACATAATGTAGCGTTTTTTTTCCCCAGGGAAAAAAGGAAAACCAACACAAAAACCCTACCAAAGTTATACAAGACTACAAGAAGAAAATTCAGGCTATTTCAAAAGGACAAAAATCACATCTGAAACAAAGCAGTCAGAATAGTTCTTCTATTTATGAAACAATTATTTAAAACATAGGTACTAGTTTACACAAGTTAGGTCTCATTCACAATGAAATACTGGAACTAGTCTTAGGGTTTCCGTAAATTTGAAAATTCCACTTCATATCTAAAAATCAATCTTAATTGATTATAAGCACTTTAAAGTCCCTTAAGTATATCAGAGACCAGAAATTCTGGATACTTGATAAGATTAAGTCATCTCCAGTTACAGTACGAATCAGAAAACCAGAACTACTTAAATGTGCAAATGATACAACTAGAGAGAAGCTCAAGTCATGACATTCTCTTTGTTACACTGGGATAAAGATTTCTTAAATGAGATGAAAAATGAAGTTTCATGTACAAGGTGTTTAGTAACAACTAAATTGTTAACAATTAAACAATATTTTTTTCTCTGTACAGGAAAAGAATAATCAAATGCTGCAAAAGTAAGGGGTATGAATTTTGAACATTTTAACCATTTTTAGCTATATCAATTCTGTCAGAAGGAAGATTAAAGTATAACCATCATGTAATGACTAAAAATCTACCTACCATTGTAACGATGAGATCTGGAGCTCAGCATGGTGCTCACCTAGACTAGCCACTTCATTAAGTGGGATACCTGAGGAGCGTCATCTTTTAATCAACACATTTACACCACTTCCATTGCAACAGGAGCAAGTCCAGAAAATATCAGACATGGAGAGGCAGAAAACAGATGTTTTTATACCAGCCAGCATATCAAGATTGCTGGTACGGCTGGCCTGCAAGTCACCCCACAAGCAGCTAGCTAGCTACCCCTGCTCTCCTGCAGGCCAACCAGCATGCATCCGCCTGCAGCTAACCCACAGAAGTGGGAAAGCCAGGCTCACCTTGACAAGATGAACATCACACACACCAATGTCAGTTTTGGCTATTCTGGGGATACGAAGAGACAGGTTTTCAGGAACTTTGGTAAAAAACAAAACAAAACAAAAATAAACAAAAAAAACCCACAAACCAACCAAAATCAAAGCATTTAGTTGCTTTTGAAAGTTCAGCTATTAAGCTGATATTAAGCTGAAAAGAGAGAACAAATTCACTGACCAATCCTAATTTCTCTGCATCTACAAACTTCATTAAAAGAGAACTGGTCATTTAAATTCTTTATTTCTGCTCTTGCTGCTCAACATTACAGGAACTGGTCTTGGAAAACCAGAAGATACATGCTTACAGGGAAGAGCTACCCTGAATACATAGCTGAGGTAGTAAAGCAGCTTGATTAAACATACAGAGTACCCAAAGAGCTTAGCATTTGCAAGTCGATTCCAGACTACTTCCACCTGAATGCAAAACACTGGCCCAGTTCCAACAGCTGGACTGGATTTAACTAATATCACCCCTCTTGCATATGATCGTACCCTAGAGTATAGTTTAAATACTTTACAATGTAGGTATGGGTGCAACACAGTGAAAGCAGAAGGTCTGCATTGATGAAATAAACACTGTTCTTCCCTAGAAATTGCTTTACTGGCCTTTTTTCCTTACTCCTTCTCTGACACCTTTTAACAAGCATGAAGTACTGCCTTGGGAGCTGGGCTGGTTTTGGGCAGGAAAAAAAAATTCAAGCGCTTGTCTGTATACAATAGTTGAGATAACTAGAGCTGTCAGCTGCCTATCTCTAGTTAACATTAGAAGTTAAATATTCCATATTTGCATAGGAATCTGATTTGTTAGTACGTGTAAAGTTGAGGCTTAGACTGATGATTCTGTTTTACTTTTTCTGGTACAGCTGGCTGTATCCAAAAACAGAGACAAAGGGACACTAATAGGTAGTGTTACTGCTGTTCTGCCTGTCCAGGCTTTCAAAGTGCATATAGCTTACTCCAAGAGTTGCAAGCAAATCATAATACATGAAGGAAAATTTCTGGGACTACTAAACCAAAATCCTGGGGCAGCATCACAATGGTCTGAACGCAACTATTTAATCACAACTGAAAGAACTAAAATGAATGACACTGTGCATGCTAATCCCCTCTATTTCTTTTGGAGATGCAAAAAGATTTGACATCCATGCCAAACTAAACCAAATGTTTACTGAAAATTAACTCTTTCTGCTAGATTTATTCCTTTAGTTACAAGCATCATGGATTACCACCCAGCCCTCCCCACCCACAAGCGTATGTTCTAGGCAGACTCTTCTTCCCCACACCCAGTTTTGAGATCTACCTAATTACCAAGTACTGCCATAAAGCTCCAAATTGTCCTTCTAAGAAAAACAGTGATGTTTTTTCAGTCATATAGGCTACAAAGTTAGAACAACTTCACCTCTGGCTTTGTTATCATAGCTCCATATTAAATTATGCTGACTAAGTTAGAAAGGCAGGCAGGGGGCATGGATCCCACAGTACAAGCAACAGATCTACCAAAGCAGCCGAATACACTTACAATGTGCCTGTACCCTGACCTGACACTCCAAGAGTTTTATTTCATCAGATTACTGTTAGATCCAAAAGGTATTTACTCCTCTTTTAGGGAAACATTCCATTGTTTTGCAGAGAGCATTAGAACTTGGTTCAGATCTTCTATGCGCTACAGAACCTTAATACTATAAAGTTTGCTTCTGGCCTGTAACCTTTAATGCAGTAACAGGTACATTAAGAGCAGAGTGCGTTTACGCTACTGTCTTTTATGCACAATCTGTCTGGGACTCATGTTCCTCAGGGTTAATAAAGGCCACTGAAGGAAAACTAGTTCTCTTGCTGTTGGAGCTGCCACACTATATTTTTTTTTTTTTTTAATCCCCAGTTTGGGCCCCCTGAAAAGAATACCAGCTGCTTTCTGTTAGCCAGTTTGTGGCAAGATAGTTCAAGTATCTAAACCTGGCTATTCTCAGCAAACTGGATGCATGAGATATCCACTGTGACTTTTTTACTTAGTGATGGGTAATGACTTACTGAAGTCAGACATTCATGCCAATATGGAAAGCCACAGGCCTCCAATTTTTGTTGCTTATGGTGCCGACTCACCTGGAAGCCCTATGGAAGCAGACAAAACTGCCCATCCACATTATCTACTTGTACTGCTCCAAAAGATCTCGGCTGAAAAGCAATTGCTAAGTTTATTTCTTATAGCCCTTTTGTAAGCATATTCTTTGAGGTCCCAATATCCCCTCTGATTTGTTTAACCTGCATACTGAGCTACTACCAGAAAAAAAGTGAGATGTGAGAACTCATGTTTTAATTTCCATATACCAATTACTCGGTTTACAAGTACAGACATATCAAACAATCCTCAGGAGACTGGACCTGAAGCAATTTAGTTGGCTGCATCCAACACAAATTGCACCAATATTGAATGACACAAAGCAGGCCAGAATACAATCAACATGTTACCTGCTGGTTTAATACAGAATAAAAGAAGAGCTGGAATTCTCTATTCAACATCAAAACTCAGCTGGAGGAGGGAAGACAAAATCTAGTAGATTTCCAGTTACTGCTGCTGTGTGAATCAAGGACATTATACCTAGTCAGAAGTTTTACAGCATTTCCATGCAGATGTAGTACACTGTTAATCACATCTTTACTGACATCAGACCAAAGACTGCAATGCAGCCATATGGGCTCCACCTGAAGCCAAACTGAAGTTCCCAGGTACTCCCACAACACCCCAAGCTAACTCATCACTGTGCAACAGTTAGTCTGCATAGACTAACAGGCAGGCAGCAAGGATCACCAACTAATTCAACGCATTTGTTTTGTCCTGTGGTCCTAACAGGGCAAGGAACCTGTCCATGTAGTGTTCCAAAGTGTGGTGGCAATGCAGCCACTGCTATCTCCACTTTGACAAGGGCCCACCTTGAAGAACTTAACTGTGGAGTTTTGTCATTTATGCTACAGCCCAAAAGAAAGTACCGGTCTGGATCAAGTCTTTCTTCTTTTCATGTACTTTTTGGAAACAGAAGGGCATACTGATTTTTACAATGATGCCAGCTCTGCCTTATCTGAATACTGTCATTTGCCAAATAAGCCCCAAGAACGGCGGACAATCAAATAGCCTAATTAAAAGTGACTCATATTCACACTTTTTTTTAAAAGAAGATTAAGGCTTCTTGATACACTCTAAATACGCACAAGGATTTGAAATCTGGTATGGTTTTAAGTTTCAGAAATCTGCTTTTGCCAGTACAGATATTTCTATTCAGATGTATGAACACTAAGAAGATATTTGTTTTCCTGTATTGCACGAACAGTGTAGCAGATGCTTTAGAATCTCCTAGAAACCAAAGTTTATCCTCTCCTTGAGGGAGAACAAGTGAAGCACCTACATGATTCCTTGGTCTCTCCCAAGACACACCACCACCTCTGTCCTCTCCTAGAATTTCCAAGCAAGTGTTCCTCCCATTCTCTTACCAAGGATACAAAGTACACCGACCTGTCTATTCAAGCAGAACAGTTGATTGCCATTGCAAAGGAGTAGGAGTCCCTTTCCTCTTCTATAGTCTAGATGACCCCAGTTCAGAGGTATAGGTTCAGTTTTTTTCTAACAGATGTTAGCAGAAACCAAATCCACCACTTTTAATGCCATACTTCACAGAGAAAATGCCATCTTCACCTTTGTGCAGTACACGAAAACAGAAAACAGCAGAGCAAAATTAAAATGGCTGTTCACGGTAACGAGGTGCAAACATCAGACTAAAATTTTGATCTTTGGATCAGCATAAAGACTCAAAATTCTTTACATGTAAAAGCTTTTATAAAATTGTAGATAACCACTTTCAAGAATCTAATTACAAAATGAAGTGTTTGGTCAGAAAGGCCTCACAGACTTTTGGGGCAAATGCCACAGAAGACCAGACATTCTTAAGCTTACCAAATATTTATACTAGTTTCCCCTAGGAAAAAAAAAAAAAAAAAGAAAACCTACTAGGCTAAATACTAGCCAGATACCTTCTTGTGCAATCTGTGTTTGAACAAAGACACTCCCTTTCCAGATACTTAAACAGTCTTCAACTGTAATATCAAAGTACCTCAGACAATCATTCTGCGATTCTATGATATATTTATAAGCACCACCCTGTGAAGTCGGGGAAAAAAACATTCTATTATTCCATCAATAAAACGGGAAACAATAATTGCAATGTGCATACATTCACATGGTACCATAAAAAACAACAAATAAAGTCCCTAGAGAGCTAGTCTATATTCAACCGCAGCAAGCTTTTTTGGTATAATATTACATGGCTCAAATGAAATCTTCTCTTTTTTTCTATTTTTTGAAAGATATAATCAAAAGGCAAAAAAAGATTAAGCATGTGCTAGCTGCCTAATTAAATCTATGAAGAGATCATTCTGCTCAAGATGCAAAAGAAAACAACAAACCCAGCTGACAACCCGGGAAGAAGATGGAGCATCAGGAATTAGAAAATACACTCCAGCAAAATCCCACAATCTTATATGAACGTTGTCAGCAACCCTTCCAATTTAATCATTTCAGTATCATGAATTCTAGATGCTTCTACCTCACTTTTTAACGTGACATAAGCCCTGATTCCATGCTTCCTTGGTTCGAACATTTTTGGTATCATATCTTCAGTTTTTCAAAATTCCAGTTTATACGTCCTCCCATAAAAACGGTATCAGTTAGCCCAAAAAAGTCACTTAGACCACCAGAAGCAGTCTAGTTTTGATGGACAAGAACCAATACAAAACTCCTTTGAACTCAGAGCTGTAGGGCCCACCAAAACACAGCTTACACTGAGCACAGAGGTACAGTGGGCCATACCCCTATCGGCAACGGGCACGGGAAGACAGTACTGCCAGATTCTGAACTGCTGCTGGCAGCTCATGATGCTCAAAGGCACCGTCACATTCATTGCCTGTGTCAGAACTCCTTGTCTGGAAGGTTCTCTTCACTGCTGTTTGTTCTGTGTTACAAATGCTACCCATCACTAGCCTACACCCTTCTTGCACGCCTGACAAACAGTGGTTAACGGGCTCCTGCTGACTCCTAGCAGGGCGATCTCATTTCAGGACTCTCTCGATGTGGAAAGCCTTCTATATCTGGCTGCAAGTCAGATTTTTGGTGCAGAGAAATAACTACCACTGACTTTGCATCTAACATTTGTATGCATGAAAAGAAGCAAGAGACCCCGATGCCAAAAAGCTGCACACAAAGACTGTATCTGGGTTAGGGTGACCTTAAGCTTACTTGGGACAGAGCTACAATGTCTCTCTGCATAATCCCATCAACTTTCTGCTTTAGACTGTAGCTAAGAAAAGGCAAGGACTAGGACACTCTGAGAACTGGAAACTTGAAATCTCACACTGCACCCGGCTAGGTGAGCACCTGGCTGCCAGTCACCCTAGCACCAGTCTGACCACCTTTAACCACCTTTTCTTCATGCAAACGAATTTTGACTATGTTCCACACCCGCAAGTTTGCAATGGGGCTTGAGCACTCATTAAAATACATCTCCGTCAAGGCTAGCAAGTCAAATTATGAAGAAGTCATTTCTCTGACTTGATTTTGCAAATCACCTATTCCATCACTACCTCCGAAGTCCACCTATCACTGAATCTCACAATAACCAAGGTTAAAAATGCACAAGAAGAGAACCTCAGCTGGTCAAACATGACAGAATATGGGAGAAACGAGTAATTCAGTAATAGGTATTTGAGTGGGGAAGATATTAATTTCATCTCCTGTTCTGCAGCCATTTGTATAGTATATATTCCTATTTTGTACTTACTGTATTTATTAAACACACACACAAAATCAAGTTTAAAACTGTCTGTAACATTTGCTTAACCTGAGAAAGGAGACAAGTGTCAGCTGACCCAGAAGAAACAATATGGAGCTTTCTCAGCAGATTTAATGGTGTCAATCTGACTGTGAAGGGACAACAATCCAACAGTTAAATATCACTAGACAAGGTATACCTTCTCCCCTTCACACCAACCTCTTTGAGTCAGCACTGGTCTTCTCCAGAGATGAAGGGCTGGCTCAGGAAGCTTAGGGAGCGGAAAATTGAAGAAACATGAAGAGCTTTGCAACCGGCTCACTCTTAAGGAGCAGCCAGTTCTGATGCAGGACTAGCTTTTTGGAATGAACAAGCTCTTTTGACCACCCATGTCAAATTTTGTGAAATGGAATGCAAAGCTCACAGCTTCCGCTGTTACAGAATTAATCAGGAATACCAATTCAGTATCAGTTTCACAGTGCTGGGTATTTTGGAAAAAAATGATAGACCTTATTCTTGGAAAATATATAGGTTTTACATTTCTTTTTCAAGTCCGTTCACTTGGCAATCTGCCTTTACTACTTGATGATCTGCCCCATCAGCTTCAACCATTTCATCATCTTTTCTGGCCTAACCTTATAAATTAGATGCCTCATTCCACTTCCAATCCCACAATAAATACAAAACTGATCACTCACTTGTAGCTGGTACATCCTCCTAATTGCTATCTTTTCAGATAACACAGTTTAGAGGACAAAACGTCCTGCTGGGATTTGTGCTAGAACTGCACAAATATTATGAAGGCCTCAAAGAACTTATGTAAAAATACTTGAAGAGCTCTTAATGTTCTTTAACAGTATGACAGTTACACTGCTACCAACTTTGACCAGACTTTGCCACTTTACAAGTTAAAAATCTATGCTTTAATAGAAGCAGCTTTAGAGACACCAGAACAACTGCTATAGTCTTAGAAATACACAAGAATGAAGAAAAACAGAGTCTGTAATCACAGGAAGATTAGCTAAGGCTTCGTATATCGCAACAACAAACAGCAATAATGTGGCCTCAATACAGCGAGATCCCAATCAGCTTACGAAGATTATGTTCATCATGAGAGGCCATCTCCAAATTGTTTTCTCCACAGGTATTTCTGAAATAAACAATGAATTCCTAAGGTATCTGTGTCTTTAAACATTTTAAAATGCAATGCATTCAATTGATTTTGAACTTCGCGGTACATGTAAGTAGACTTATTAGGTGTTTATTTTCTGCCAAGAGTCACAAATACTTCATAGCATTGTACTATTTACTTGCAGACTAACCAAAGTTTGGAGAACTCTGTAGCAATAGCAACCAAGGAGGTTTCGCACATCTACCTCTTACTACCCATGTAATTCTTTCCAAGGTATGAACACATACACCTGTATTCTCCCAAGAGTATACTGGCCTGAAAGGGTAATAAAAAAGCTGCAACAGTCAGAGCTTATAAACTCTGCATGAAAGTACTGGATCTTATAGTAAATCCAGTTCCCTACAGGAAGCTACCTGACACCTGTGCTTTCACTTAAACTACTGATATTCACTGAGCCAGTGAGGCTATTAAGACAGCAGGTCCAGAGTACCATAAACCAACCTAAATCAGCCGTTACAGCCCTATTCCCTCCCATTTCTGCTTTTGCTAGTATCAGTTTCTGTGCCAGCAAAGTGAAAGGCAGAAAGCTGATCAATCTGTAAAAACGAGCTCCTGAAAGAAACTGGGTTGTTGTAAAGTAGCTGGGAGTAACAGGTTTTCTGGGATTGCTACAAGCCTTATTTTTTCCATGTAGAGTTTGAGGGGAGTACGGGGAGAAAAACACTAGTCAGTGCACAGAACAGGATCAAGAAATGAGCTGGTAGTAGCACGTCTGCTCGTTCATTACCGCTGCGCAGCTATGGTACCTCCATTGCAACAAGCTTTTGACATTTGACAGGAACATGGCTTTAAGTCAACTTACGCCTTTCTCAGATGCCCAAAGACTGTACAGATTTGGCCTCTCCAGAATGATATTCCTCTGCTTGCAAAAAAATTCATGGCAGCGTAACAGAAAAACGTGAATAAATTCAAGCATCCTCAAGAACTAGATCCACAGTTAGCAAAGCACACTGAAGCTGCTAGAGCTGATGATGGAGATCTGGGATAAGCCCAGTTTCTTCCTCTGCCTCATCTGGGCTCGAGATGCTGAAGATAAAGAATAAAAATGGATCCTTCAGAGTCCCTGGACACAAAGGTGATTGATACAAACCAAAAGGTGATACAATTGCCCCCCAAAAAACTGTAACTGGGGAAAAGGCATCAGTGGCCAGCACCTCTGAAGTTTAAAACCAAATAGAGCAGGAGTAGGTGAAATACAACTGAGTGGCTCTACCTCTTTTTGGTAAAAAGCCTTCAACAAATTTCAGGAGGTTAATCCTACGGCCTAAGCAACAGAAGTTCAAGGACTTGTATTCTTTTGACTTATGACCAGGAATATGACAAGAATACAAAAGGGAAATTTTAATCCCAGTCACTGAAGTGTTTTTACAAAAGTTATTTACGTTATAAGGCACAAACTCCTCATTAGTTGTTGGTTTTTCTTTTTAGATGAGTGCACATGGAACTTCACTTTTGATGCAGAACACATTTCGCTAATTACATGACCACACAGCCTTATTGCGCCATACAGAAATAACAGTAAGTCATGCAGACAGCCCTACAACTTATAACATCTCTGCTCGTCAAAAATTTTTCCTCAGTTTTAGTCAGGGATGCTGACTAATCCCTAAAAAAAGAAATGGGCTGAATTGTTTGATCTGTCACCTTAAACACCAGAACAGTGAGCCAACATATGGGTGCCTGCTACTGTAACAAAGAGTAAGTAACACTTCTGGTCCCAGAAGTTGGAGGAGTAAAAAAGTCTAACGAAGATGTTACTAGGCAAAGAATGAAGCTGAAGAACTGCAAACAGGAAAATCAGAAGGTTCAAATTAGGTTTTCTAAAAGCTAGATTAGCTTAGATGTCAATATAAACAAATAAACGTAGCAGTTACAAGTGGTATTATGAATTAAGTTATTGCAACTGTTTAATCTTGTCCTGTAAAGCCTCGATTGTATTAGAATAATAAGTGTTGCACATGTAGAAGAAACCCACTGAGATTTAAGACTACATGCCTATGATCAACACAGAAAAGCCTTCTCTTCATTTATGGGACAATTTAAAAAGCCCTTTCACATCTCTGGAGAACACAAAATTGAAAAGGTTGTGAGGAGAAACTGTTCTGGCAGTTGTTCATCCAGATGAAGCCACTAGTGTCTGGGCTCCTTATCGCTCAGCTCTGCAGGTTCAGGTTAGCTCTGTCTGCTACTAATCACATGTCAGTACCTATAAAATAGAAGAGTCTCACTAATAAAAGCAAGAACACAAACTCATATTAAGTGAGTAACGCTTCCTTCCCAGCATTTGATTTTACTATTATCCCTTTTGGGAGATAAACACTTTTTGGAAGTATTAATATCTCAAAATCAGAATTCCGGTTCTATATACACAACTCTACCTCCTTAACAGAGGAAGCCAACAAAAAGGTAAGAAATTTCCACCCCAACCTGAAACTACGAAAAGTAGAGTGAACCTGTGCAAGTGAAGGAGTCAGAAGCTTTGACTTCTGCTCAGCAGATCTGTTTCTTTGCTCTCAGAAAAGGAGCATAGTAAGAAGTTGCATGGGGTACTGAGGTCCATCTTAACATAAAACAACTGTACTTACTCATCTTTTGTTTCCCTCAAAGTTGCATTAATAAAAAGCAAAGACGATTATATGGCCTAGCAAACCCAGTAATAAAATATTAGTTAACTACAAATTAAAGGAGTATGTATTTTGGTCTGCCAGAAGAGTCTGTACCCAGAGGGCATCACTAATAACTCATCGGTATTTATTAGAAGCTAAAGGAAGGTTATTAAAGAATGTATTCAAGCCTGATGAGTTCAAAGGCAGTGACTGTCTCCAGGCAGAAGGTGACTCAAACATCACTGTTTTCAAACTGAACTTGAGAGCGTACAGCTTTGAACATTTAGATTTTCCAAAGGATATAATCTAGATATAGACCATGATTTATTACTCCACCATCCTAACTACTTATTTTCTCATTGGATGAATTTGACAAAACATGTAGATACCAGTGCCAACGACAGCACCGATGCCTTCTGGTACACAAGTACTGGAGGCAGGATCTCTATGTAAAACTCCTTATTGCAGCACAGGGACCAAAACTTAATTGCTTACAGTTGGGGATTACATACAATATCTGATTTAGAAAATAAACGTTTTGTGGAGAACGGATAACTTTCCCTAAATACAGACAAACTTCCAACCAGCAGGTCAGTCTATGTAGCACGATCTCAAGAGATGCACAGTAAGTAATGGCGATTATATAGCACCACTGCACTCCATCTTCCACTAAACTTAAACTGTTTTAATTCTAGAGACTTAAGTTAGATAAAGTTTATTTAAAAGGGTACTTCTAACATGAACTTTTAATTAAGTATCATGATGAGAAAAGAGTCCAAAAGGAGATGTAGTAGAAAATTTCAGACATTTAATGCAAATTAAGTTGTTTTGAAAGACACTGACACATTTCTAATCTTTTACAGTCCTTTCAATGAATCTAAATTTCATTTTAGCACATTGCCATGAGTATACAACTTCTACATACTTCTCTGTT